AGGACAAGAGGAGGACAAGGCCTGGACACAGAGCCCAGCCACAGAGCCCAGCCACAGAGGACAAGAGGAGGACAAGAGGAGGACAAGGCCTGGACACAGAGCCCAGCCAGAGAGCCCAGCCACAGAGGACAAGAAGAGGACAAGGCCTGGACACAGAACAGAGCCCAGCCATAGAGGACAAGAGGAGGACAAGGCCTGGACACAGAGCCCAGCCACAGAGTTCAGGGCGCGGCCAGGGAGTGTGGCCAGCTCTCTTTTTTCTAAGATAGAACCCCAACAGTAAACTGTTTGGGGAACAATGAATGCTTAAGGTCCAGATTTTAGACTTTCTATTTCCAACGGGGACTTTATATATGTGTATACATACAACATCATACAACCGTCTTGCGCTGTCTTCCGGCCTCAGAGTTGCTGGATGTGTCTTCCAACTCCGTACTGCCGACCTCTGCGTCAGACTCACCCGCTTTCGTTGCCGGGGTCACCGGGCTCACAGGCGCAAGCTTCATAGTCGCAGCCATGTGGGGTTTTGGCTTAGCAGGGCTCTTGAAGTTGAAAACCGGGAGGAGTTTGAGCACCAAGGCTATGCGACGGGCTCTGCGTTCAAAAACTCACATGATGCAGTTTCATGGAATGAAGAAAATGTAAAACATAGTCAGTATTACCTGCGGAGTTCTCACAGAGTCTGACTAGAGTCAAGCTCAAAAGGGGTCCGCTCTTCCCAAGCCTGTTGCGTAGCTAAATAGGAGGTGATTTGTGTATATATCGTGGGGAAAAGCTGCGAAGCCCCTTTTTCTTTGGCGCAACTCATCTCAAACCCCCGGATGCGCTGCACAACAGAGGTGTGGGCACACCTCTGAGTGACTTGCAATTTGGGATGGAGAAGTGACCTCTTCAAGGTGCTCAGGTGAACACTTTGTCCCAGGGCTCCACTTGGAAAGGACTGTCGGCTAAAACCCAGGGAAAACAAAGGAGTTGGAGCGCGTCTCTTCTCCAGCCAATTGCAGGTCTCCTTGAAGTTCAGTTATTAAATATGCACGCTCAAGCGACTCAAGCGCTTTGCACCTGCGCATCGATTTTCGGGGGCAGCCCTCAAGGTTAGTGACACAAAACATCTCAGTCCCGCTCCTGAGGGTGCTTGAAAAAGTTGAAGACGTTGTTCTTTGCCTGCAAGCTCAACCCTTGGCTGTTGTTTGGCTGGCGCTCCATGAAAACACACAAAAAAAATAAGAAAATCTAGGAACTAATGGAACATGAGGCTGAGGTCCAGTAGGTCTAGCATCCAGAAAAACTGCAAGTGTTTTCCGCCTGTGCCAGTTCCTGCCGCAGTTGCTGTCGCAACGTCTCCAAATCCTGGGCGCTGCGAAGACTCGCTGCATCTCCGCCATCGGGTCGGTCAGGTCCGATCTGAGGACTCCACATTCGAGCGCGCGCGGGACTCTAAGACCTGCGGCGAATCTGGGAAGACGCAAGAGTCAGGCTTCGTGGAAGAAAAGGAGGGTTCTACGGATAGGGTTCACCGGTATCCATAACGCGAGTTCACCATGAAATTCTGCGTGTGGAAAATCTTTCCCAGAAACCTTACTTCTTCGAGTGACGTAAGATTCATGGTCTTTCAGCTCTCACGGAATGGCTGAAAGGTCCTGACTGAAATCTCGCAAGAGTTCGGGCTTTTCTGAGGGATGTAATGTATGTGATGAAAACATCACACTGCATAACACTGTTTTCGGCGGCCTAGGACTACTAGGACTGCAACACACCCTGAGCCTCCAGTTGTCGGGTGTAGGCCAAGACCAGGAGTTTGTGGAGCTCGCTTTTGCTCCTGGTTCTGATCTCTTGCTTACACATATTGCCATTTCTGTGAATTTCTGTGTGACAGACCTTCGTTCAACTCATGGTGCACCGCTCCTCAACATCAGCTGATCATAGGACGGCCGGCCCTTCACAGGGCGAACCTGAGCTGACCACCATCAAGAGAAAAAGATCTCCGAGGCTTACGTCCTCTGCACAACTCATGTCTCCCCAGACCCCAGCAGCACCATAGCAGCGGCACCCCGCAGTGGCACTCCATACACATCTGGCAGCGGCGCCCTGCGGCGGCACCAGCACCCAGGCTCCAAAACACACACAGGCGCCTCTTCCTACACTTGAAGTAAGAACCCCAATAGTTTTCGCTATCTGGTGAAAAAAAATATACCAGCAGCATAGACCTCAAACAGTTTGGTCGGTAAGAACTGTTATTGTGGGGTGAGCCGCAGCCCCAGCCCCCGCTTTGGAAAGCACCGCAAAGAGCACTACAGCAGCAGGACAACAGAAAGATCAGAGGACACGAGGAGGACAACAGAGGACAAAAGGATGAGGGAAGGAAAACACCGCGAACACACCAAGAGCACAAAAGAAAAACAAACTATGACCGGACAACGCCGAAGGGATAATAGGACGACATGAGGAACGCGCCAAAAGGAGAACGAGAGGAGTGAAGAAGGACAACAAAAAGGCAATAGAAGAACATGAGGAGGACAGGACCGAAGAAGTTGCGAGGAGAGAAGCAAAGAAGGACATCCGGACAGGGCTCGGCGCGGCTTGACATTGTGGCCAGTTTCTTCTTTCCTGCGAAAGAACCCCGCAAACAAAGGAGAACACATCGGTTTCTGGGGCTGTTCCTTGAATTGCGCTTGGGGGCGGTGCTTCGTGCGCACGCACACGCTGTCATGGTGTCAGGTCTACATGCTGCCATGCTGCCATCAGGGTGTCCTCCTCTTGTCCTTGCGGTGCTTGCAGCTGTCCTGCTGTTGTCCTTTGGCTGTGCTGGTCAGCCTGTGCCCTCTTCTTGTCCTCCTGGTGTCCTCTTCTTGTTCCCCTAACAATTTTCTTGTTAGGGTTCTCTCAGGTGTGCAGTTTGGCTCCTGTTGCCCTCATTATTTATCCATTTTCCTCCTCTTGTCTTCTTGTCGCCCTTGCCTTGTCCTCTGCTTGTTCTCTGCTGTCCTGCTTGGGGGGGAAAAAGTTACTTTTATGATCTTCTATGTATATATTCCTTTGTTTATACACGCAAGGTAAAAGAGTACGCCAGCATACACCCCCCCAAAAAAAAAAGTACTTTTGTGGGCAGCACACTGCAGCGGCACTCTCTGCAGCGCCCCTCGGGCGGTGAGCCCCAAAGCACACATGGCATCTGGCAGCACCCTGCAGCGGCACGCACCCAAGCTCCAAAGGGCACACGGCCACACATCTGGCAGCGGCACCCTGCGGCGGCACCAGCACCCGATTAAGCTCCAAAGTGCACACGCACCTCTTCCTTACTTGAAGTAGGAACCCCAATAGCTCTCGCTATGTGTTGATTTAACTTCAGCAATCTCTCGTATGGAAGCCACCGTCATACCAACTGTAGTCTTTCTATTAGGAGTTTGAATTGTCCTCCAGTTTTGAACACCAAATCTAACAAGGCGCGTCAATCAAGCAGCCCTGCTCATCGCGGTAGAGTCCAGGATAGCCGTTTGGCAAAGCAAAGACCTTCCTGAGCGTTCTGGACCTACAGGACCTTCCTAAGTTCGACCCCACTGGAATCGAATCTTACCATGTCTCAGGGTAGCTTCCAGCCTCAAGTTGCCCTCTAGCTCTGCTTCCTGCTCGAACTCTTCCACTGACACCGCGCGAAAACCTGCGGCCATGCTCTCAAATGGAGAAAGGATCAAGGCTCGGTGTTGCCAGGGCAGCTCATCCAGGCCAAGGGCCAAGGTCTCCGCATTTGGGTCCTAGGTGGGGGGAGCCTGTCCTCGCCCCACCAAACCAGAACATGAAAGCCCCGACCTGCTTCGGCCAACGCAGCCGTGTAGTCAAAGTCCTTGGGCGGCCAATCTGGGAGAACATACCACCAGCGGCCTTAGAGCAGAAAGCTGGCCCAATCCAACCAAAGGCGACAAGAGGGCAAATGGATGGTCCAAATTGTCCGTGAGCGTGACTTCCACAGGTCTTGGACGTGACTTTGCCAAAAACAAGTCCTGACGCTGATCTGCCTCCTAACTTGTTGAGAACCTACCCCCCTGGATCTACTATCTGCTCCAAATATCCATCTTGGGATCTGGCAGAGAAGCTTGGCCACTAGCGCCTGCTTCGCACTGCGCTCGCGCGTCTTTGCTGCTGGCACCTCACCTCGGCCCAGATGGAATCCGTTCATCTGGTGAGGATCACACAGCGCCCAGATTTGGTGAAGCACTGCCCATCTTGGAAGAAAAAACACACCTGCTGGGCTGCTGGGCTTGAAATTCGCACTCATTGATGCCATCATGGGTATCTGTTGCCCATCATTATACTTTGTGTACATGTATATATATATAATATATATACATGTATATATCTTGAAAAGCAGGAACAAGCAGTTGTGCCAAAAAGTGAATAGATAGACCCAACTCTGCAAGCAAAAGCACTGAGCCAACCGGCCGGTGCTTAGACCTTGCAACTCCACTGGCGCCCATCGTTGGGTGCAGCCTCGGAAGGCTCACTCAATGCACGCAGCCAACTACTAGCAAACAAAACAAAGGTATTCATTATTGTTGATTTGGGTATGAGAGAAGTAGGACGACCCCAGTTGGAAGGTTGAATGGAAAAGAACAACAAATGCAGTCAACCCGGGGAGACCCAAACAAGCCCATGTCTTGAAGCCCATGTTGTGCTTTGATCTCGCTTCCAGACTGCTGCCCAAGTTCACTCTGGTTCGCCACGCGGTCGTGCTTCGCGACAGATCTTGAGATCAACTGGACCCTGAAGGTGGTCATGACAGCCATAGTCAAGTGTTGAGGGGCAGCAGACCAAAAAATAGAGAGTGAGGAAAGGGAAGAAAACAAAGTACTGAATCTTGATTGGGAAATTCAAACCGAAATCCACCCGTCTCCTCGTCCTCCTCCTGTTCTACAAGATCCTCTTCGAGGTCCTCTGTCTTTGCTGTTGCAAGAATCTCCTTTGGCGAAGATGTTGGTTTCATCTGGCATGCAGCAACTTGGCAAGAAACAATGCCATCCTCGCAGTGCACAAGCAAAACATCACAGGCCCCATTTCACTGATGTTCAATCACCAGATAGGGAGCCCATCCTGATGATCCTGATCTTCCTCTTTGTCTTCCTCCTCTCCTGTCCAGCCCACTTGAAGGGTCAAAAAGAATGCAAGTACTCTGAAGAATTCATATGAACTTTTCAAACTCCTCTGTGATCCTCGAGATTGTAGGAAACAAAATAAAACAGTGGCCTTGTTAAGCAACCCTAGTAAGGACTCTGGAGTGTCAAGCGCAAGGCGGAATGTGGAGACAGTTGGTTTTGTTGGGAAAACCCACGTTTCTATGTGTCTGCAGCGATTAAAAATTTGACAGGTCAATCTTTGCATGGTGTTTACCGTGGCGTGTTCCATGTGTTGCAACTCTTGGCCGCTTCGCCTTAATTGCCCCCCCACCCACCCCCCTTGTCAAAGAAATGCCAAAAACCCTGGGTTCACTAATGACAACGGCGGCAAAAACAAATTGTTGACTATTGCCTATTGATATGTTGCCCTCGACAATTCAACAGCACCCAAGCAATCCCATACTGTAAATGAATTCGAACTCAAACCTGGCGCAGTCTGCTTAGCCTCGGTTCTGCCCAATTCTCGAAGGTGCGTCTCGAAATGGACCTAAATCAATGCTGGCAGTCTAACTTGGCCTCTCATCGTTCGCTTTTCCCAGTCCACCGGTCTTTTTGCCTGAACTCTCCGAGCTGGAGGATTCAGAGCTGCTCAGGCTGGACTCACGAGAGCTCAGGCTGGACTCAGAACCTGAGCGATTGACGACCAAAGCAAACCACCCTGTACCAACCATCCGGAATCCGGAGGATCATCCAGAGGATGTAGCGATTCATGATCTCATCATTCCGTGTCTATTCATGTCCCTGTTACTTCTTTGATGACGCAAGACTCGAATTCGTACCTGGCTCATTCGTGCCAGGCTTACCCAATCAGGTCACAGTGACCATCCTAAAGCCCGTTGAAAGCCCGAATCACCAACTTCTCAAATCCATCCAAGTACAGGGACTCCCACCTGATGTCAGCTCGAAGGCACACTCAGAAGATTCCTGGCTGTGGCGTGGTTTGTGCATGGCCAACATCAAGTCTATGTCTATAACCTGACATGGGTATTGAAAATGGAGATGAGCTCTGCAAAATACTGATGATTAGACTATATAGACCATTTTTCTTCGCATCACTTTCTTGCGCTCCTGCGACCATACTTTTCTTACGCGACTACAATGTGAGCTCACATGCGAAGTATGTCCCAAAAGACCTTACGCAGACCTTACGCATCGGCACTGAGAACACACGAGAACCATACCCCCAAAGGAAATGCTTAAGCGACTGTCCTTTTTGCAGATGTGCGAGCGACAAGTACAAAGCTTACGCAAAGCTTACGCAACATGCATGTCTCACAACTTCCTTACGCAACCTCACACCTTTGAGGTTCTTGTTTATGCCTATTTTCCATATGACAAGGCCATTGCTTAGTTCATCTTTGGAGGTTTCTTGCGGTGCTCAGATCTTCTCCCATGGTCAGAGGCGTCATAAAGAGAACCAAGAACAAGCAAGGCTCTAAGCAAGGGAGCTCTTGACCCTCCTCCATGTCCTCGACTGCGGACGATTCATGGGTGGGCTGATGGTCCTTGACAAAAGCCAGAAAGAGAGCTCCGAGTGAAATGTATCTGCAAATATGAGTGTGCTTGCCCGTGTATGCCTTTCTCCCCGACCTCCATTAATTCAAGTCTGCAAGTTCAAGCTGCTTTCCTGGCCCTGAAAAGTCTGCAATAGCAAATAGCTGGAGTCACTCCTGAGCCATGGCCAGCGTGGCCGCATCTTGCTGCGAGATCTCCTACGCGGCCCACGGTTGCACCCAACTCTACCGATTTCTCTGCAATTCATGTATGTGGGCTCAGAAACCAGTCAGAATTAATGTAGACTTCTAGACACTCACACTATGTTGCGTAATGTCCTTTGAGTTTCTTTGTGTGGATTCGGTTGTGTATATATAATCTAATAATATATGATTATAGTCATAGTATTATAATAGTAATACTTGCAAATATGTTGCATCACTTACTCTCCAGCTTGCTCCTCTCCACTCTGATTCACTTCAGCCTGTTTCTGGGAGATGTTCAGCAACGCATGCTCCTAGTAGCTAAACCCAAGTGTGACAGGACGTGTTCTTGAACTCACTGAAGTCATACACTCGGACAACACAACGTCACAACCCGAAACGTCACATGCTACGTTTTGCTGTGGAGAAAAAGACTCCCACAACTGGTGACCTGCCTGTCTGTCCTCATCTTCTTTGGAGGTAGGATGCTGCAAGTCCTGTGCATTGTTGTGCAGGGAAATTTGGAAGTCCCAACCTGGGGGGCAAAACTGCACTAAACCGTGTGCTGTGCCACCGTGTCAATTGCCCTCAAAAGGGTTGCTCCTCTCCACTCTGATTGAATTGAGCCTTTTCCTTGGAGATGTTCTGCAGCACCTCCTATGGACACATTCACTGCCTAAGCGTCTCAAAATGCGCCGATGTCACTGAATTCATACAATCCTGAGAGGCGCTCACAGCAACCAAGCAAAAGCAGCTATACCCCTGGTACTGCCATGAATCATTCTGCCTGTCTGTCCTGCTTCCCTGCGTCATCTTCTTTGGAGGTGGGCTGCTGCAAGTCCTGTGCATTGGGGTGCATGAAAATTTGGGAGAAGTCCCAACAACCGCGTGCTGTGCCACCATGTAAATTGCCCTCAAAAGGCTTGCTCCTCTCCACTCTGATTGGAGATATTCTGCAGAACGTCCTCTGACCAAGAACTTGGAAATGTTTGGAGTGTCCGGAGAATTTCATGGAACACCCCTTTCTTGTCAAAAATCGGGGAATGCACTTAAGTTTCCTCCTTTGAATCCTTTGCATAACTTTCCTTAACGCTGCGCAGAACTTCACAGGCGCGAGTAACATCTGTGCTCTCCAGGTTTTGGACTTCTTCGCAAGCGATGAAGCATTTTGGCAAGAATTTGTTCTGCAACTCTGAATATGTTTCATGTCTTCTGTCCTGGCATTCTTGGCTGCCTTTCAAGAGCTCCTGGTTCACACACACTCAGGTGACTTCCGCCTGTTGTGGAGGGAGATGCCTTCGGTTCCTTTCCAACACCTTCCAGAAGGGGCCTTTCCAAATGGCACGGTTCTGTGTCCAAACAAAGGGCTTTCTTCCAGGGCCCCACTGAGCAGCAACCAGCCACTTCCATCCGACGAAATCCCCGTCCAGGCGTTGACGCCTTCGCTCCAACGCAGCCTGATGAGGAGGGCATCGCTCCGTGACGAAGTAAGCGCGTTCGTGATTGAAGGACCGAGTAAGGACTGAAACCTGAGAAGTCCAGAGGAGTGTGCAAGCAGACAAACTAATTATATAGGCCAAAACCATGAATCTGCATGGGCGTTTGTCCAGGGTGTTTCAATTCCGTTGGGGCATGCGGCACCTCACGATTCTGCCGGATCCTCTGCTCGGTTTGGGCGCCTGGGATGAGGAACCAACATGTCAAGGCTCCGCAAATGGAGAAACCTGGACAAGGCCTTGGATGTATGCCTTTATGTATGTAATGAGCAAAATCAAACGGGCACTCTGCAGCCCACCAGCATGTTCATGGATGATGCGTGCATCCCATTGAAACTGTTGGCGAGCTCTAAGAATCGGCACCACAAATGATCAGCGAATCATGATCACCCGATGCTTTCGCCACAAGGATTCCAAAATTCCGACAGCCGTTCAAGACCAAACTTGGATGCACTGGGTACCCTGCTGCGCCGCGCTAGCGCCACCTGCCGGTTCTTTTCCACAATGGCCTCCAAGCAGTGGCTTCATCGTTGCACAATCTCACATAGGGCGCAAGAATTGCCAGCATGGACCCCAACCAGTTTCAGCAGGATTTGTCCGGCAATTCCTTGAATTACAATGTCGGTAACTACAGTATATGTCTATAGCCTTTCGGAACAGCATATACAGAAAAGGGAAAACGGTACGGCCAAGAAGGGGACAAGCCGGGAAAAGAGACAAGAGGGCTGGCCACACGGATAAGCAGCCCATACAGACCCGTGCAAGACCGAAGAAAAGGCTCACGGAACCGAAGAAGACAAGGTCCGAAGCGACGGCGCAGCCAAGCATGGACACACAGACCCAGACAAGGCGACAAGCCCGGTTCAGACGGAGACAGGGCCACGGCGGCCACGGCCCTTTTTTCCCCTAACCGAACAGTAAACTGTTTGAGGATCAAACCTTTAAAATTCCAGGAGGTTGGAATCAGTGGTTTTACATGTTTGACACATGTATTCACGCGAGCCTTCTGCTCATCAGTCACGCTCTGCCTGCAAGTGCTGCTCAAAAATGAAGCGTTGAGCGTTCGCATCTTCAGATTAACTTGGTACTGACCTTTCATCTCACAACTCCTGTGGTGTTGCAACTTCAGCCAAGTGTTGCTCAGAAGAGGCTGATCAAGAAACACATGTCCGCCACAAAAAAGGCCTACAGTGGCTCATGCTAAAGTGGTCCGCTTCAAAGACCATCACCATCTCGGCAGCTCACCCGATTCATCCCCACTACGGTTCGATTCCCTCCCCATCCACGGATGTTCTCGGGCCTGTTCGGTTCGGAGTTCTCGTCCACACGCTGGCGCTTCGCAGGGCCCTACGTCGATGCGCGATACGGCGAGACCGCGAGGCGCGGCCGCAGCAACCAAGTAGGTTCGAAACGGAAATCTGTTCACAAGTGGTATATAATCCACGGAGAAATGATCCTTTCATGCTTATTTGACGCTGCTACCACATGGACATGTCCATACATATATATATATATACACACGACAAGTGATAATAGGAAAATAACTCAAAACATACTGCACAGTCTATGCTTATTCTTCACAGGGTGTATCGAAGCTTCTAGGTCTAGGCCAGCGAGCGCTTGTTCGAGAGCATTTGCCTCCACCATGGCGCCATACCCGAGACCATGGCCCTTTGGGAATTGAGCCCAGTGACAGTGTCCAGAAAGTTCCTTGCAATGCCTTGTCACAGAACCATCCTATCTCCGCAAAGCAACCCATGCTTCTGCAGAAGGATAAGCGCTTCTTCTGTGTTCCGCTCCAAGCACTGGAAGTTGAACATAAACCATGCTCCTTCGACACGATTTTGTTTGTCTTCTTCCAATCTTGGCAGGTTGGCGGTTGCCAAGCCTACCAGCAGGGCTACTGATGCCGAGAACAACAAAAGCAATCTATAACTTTCGTTGTGTATCGCCACCTCAGCCATGAGCGCGGAAGAGTTTCCCGCTGGTGACTTGGAGGCCCATTTTGGCGCCCAATGTGCACTTCGACTCTTCCACACCATCACATATACTTGACATTAACTTATCCCACAAATTTGGACTAGTAACAAGTGCATCGCTACTAGATCTACTAGTAAAAAAGGACATCACTACTAAGAGCAAGAAGCTACTAGTAGCTCCTGTCATTACAAAAAAAGAATGCCAAGTTACATCCTTCTTTGCGTCCGGACCGCAGTGGCTACGGACTCCAGCACAAGCCCGGCCACGGACGCAGTCTCTGATGACCGCTGGGCTGTAGCCCAAGTTTCGCGCCCGGGCCTAGGGCAGGAGGGGTTGATGTAGAGCTGAAAAGCCACCAGGTCATTCAGGAATGCTAGCTAGCTTGGGTCAACAACGTCACCCTATCTTCCCTGCGCCCGCGCCTTTCCGCGTCTGGATAAGTGGTTGGTTGTTTACAGTACGTGGATGTCTGTGGCCTGGATGTCCAGCCACCAGGTCTGCCATTGATATGGAGAGCACATTCCAGCATCCAACGCTAGCGTCAGCACCAATGATTTCCAACTGGAGGAAGCCATGCCAACGCCCGCACGCAATCAGCAAAAACGGTGCCGCGTAAGTGAAGGGGATTCCTGTTGCGCGGCACCAAATATCCCAACCCAAACTGAAGCTTCAATCACATTGATCCAAATCCAAGCCACAGTTCAAGCATTCTTACCGATATTGCAACCCAGTCCTGAACATCACCCTAGTCCTGTGCTTCACCCTCGCCAGCGCAACCGTCCTGAGGAAGCCGATGCGCATGTCAGCCCCTGCCGTGAGGAAGGTGAGCATTCCCACTGAAGATTTTTTTTTGAGTGTTGGTTGGCTTTGATAATGCAGAGACTTCACAACTGCAAGCTTATATTGCAAGTATAAGTACAGTATATGTAATGATTTATGTTGTATTGATATCAAGGGCCTACCCTACCCTATTGCCGTGAAATGGTGTCACAACGAAGGGCGCTGATAGGCCGCCCTGAAAAACTCATGTCTTCACTCTTCGTTGCCCGCTCGCCTTGATGCGGTGCTTGCACCAGCTCAACAAGACTCGACGCGCTCGTCGTTCGAGCTGCACGGCCTTCGCCATCACGGCTCTCGCCACAAGATCAACAAGTCGGCCTCAGGCTCCTCGGGCTCCTCGGGCTCGGCCCTCAGCTCCACCTCCATCTCAACCATCTCGGCCTTCTCAACTTCTGCGTGCCTGAAAAGGACAAGGAGACACAAGGGAGACATAAGACACATGCAAAGCTTCTGCTGTTGTCAGACCCGTAAAAAAAAAGAGAAACATACGTGGGCCGATCATCTGCACTCGTCAGCTTTTTCAACCCTCCACTCCTCTCTTCATCCGGATCGGAGCACGCGAGCCTGTTCATCTGTCTGTGGTCTCCCATCGGCAGTTCATCGACATCTGTTTTCTTGCCAAACAAGGGGGGGCAGCAACAGTTCAAGATCTGCATGAGGCAATTCTTCCATCGCTCCTTCCTGTTTCAGGGCGGAATTTGGTGCATGCGTTGGCATCCAACTAGATGACTATACAGTAGAAAACGAACAGGCCTAGGTATAGAAATTACTGGTACGATTGATCCTTCAGATAATGGGACTCCTCCATTTACAGTATTTCTCGTCATTGGTAACGTTTCTAAATGGACCTGTTTCGAAAAAGGCCCAAAGGCTGTAAGGGTATAGTGGAGCACGATGGATTTCGCAGATCTTCTCCAGAACTGTTGACACTGATCTTCAAGTCTTTGACTTGCATCGTTGAGGTCCAACCTGGGCAAATGAAAAAAAACTGCGTGTTCAACCCCCGACAAATGGAGGTCGTCTGGACTTAACCCTCACCAGCTCTGGCTGGGCAACTCATGGCCTGGACTGAAGATGCTTGCCCTCCAAGGAACTGTCATTGTACCAAGTAAACCACAAGAGTCCAGAAAGTCCCAGCGGCCCACAATGCCCGGAGACTGCACCTCTTCAGATTCCATTCTTCCGAGTGTCAAACGGAAGTGGCATTACACCCCAAGCAGTTATTGAGCATCTCTTCAGCCATTTGGTGAAAAACATGTCGCGCTACAGTATGGAACAACTTCTCCACCCATCCGGGCCTGAGACTGCCTGCATGGGAAAGACCTGGTGAATGACTGGACCTCGACAACTGGCACTTGTACCCGACTTGCACAAGTGCCAAGGGGTACAAGAAGATGCGTCTTGAGGGAAGGGGTTGTTATCTGCTATCTGTCTCTTCTTGTCTGCGCTTAAAACACACGTGCAAACGACAGGGTGCAAAACTCCAAGTGGCTTGACCGGCCATCTTCAAACTCAAAGATTATGACCTTCCATGCGGGAGTTCACGTCTGAGGGTCCGCCATCACGACAGATGAAACTTTCGAGGGCAAAAATTGCTCATCTGAAATCCAACAGTTCAAGGCACTTGAAGCTGCAAAGAACCTCCCGGCCCAATCTGAAAGGACCACTGCGCTTGACCGCCAGGTGGGAGCACTCGATACCGAAATCTTGACTGCCCTGGAGAAAAGGTGCCCAGGCCCACACCATTTGATCCTGAGTTATCAATATATGACCAGTTGAACTGCAAAGAAGTTCCCCCTGAGTAGAGGGTTGAGAGGCAATCATGAGATGTGGAAAAGAGCAACACAAACGCAGTTCCACAAAGATCCAGAGCTTCAACCCTGCATCAAAATCACACTCATGCATTTATTCAGATCTATATATGCAGATCTATGATCTATCGTAGATTGCTTGAGACTGCAGGGTCTAATCCACCCGTGCATTGATTTTCTCAGCGGAGTGACCCGAATCAGTCAGACCCTTCAGCGCAGCAGTGCCAGTGATGACTGCAAGCAGCTGGGGAAATTGGAAAACCCCGTCGGAGATGAGAAGGAACTTCCTGGGCCAAACAACTTTATTAGTTGCCATAATCCTCTTTTACGCTTGCACCTCTCGCAAAGTGCTCTTGAAAACCGGTGGACATATGTGTGTGTGTGTGTATGATCTTGCTTTCAGCTGTGGCGGAAATTACAGTAATAGGTCAAAAGCTAGACCAATGTCAAGGCTGCCAAGGCTCTCTTTGATCTTCTCTCTCATCCGCTGGCTAAGCATTGGCTGCATCGCCATCCACAACAAATTGAATCCTTAAATAGGTGAATGAACTGTTCCAACAAGCACAAGCATACCCAGCAGAATCACCGCAACGAAAAAAACTATATAAAGGGTGTGAAATGGTCATTCCATCATAAATATAATTGTAAATATCAGAACTAGACGACGAGTGGCCCGAAAGCATTTTTCATCACGTAGGAAGTCAGAGTGCGAGTTATCCGGTAAGTGTGCGGTGTGAAGTGTTACGTAGGTTTCCTGCTAGTAGCTAGTAGCTTAGTGGCTTCAGCTAGATGTCCACACGGCATGAACATGTGAAACATGTGACGTGAACGGGTCATGGAGATTCTCGGTTGCGGAGAGCGTGCCCAAAGTGGAGAGATAAAAGGTGCCCATCATGATGTTCGATGATCTAGGTCATCGACATAGGTGGAGTGGAGTTGATTCGGCGAAACGAAACGAAACGAAGCGAAACGAATCGAAACGCGAAACGAAGCGCGAAACGAAACACGAAACTAAACGAAGTCGAGTGAGTTGAGGTAGTGTGTGGGCTTCTGTGCGTGTGTCTATGTCCGTGTGGAAATGAGTCTGCGTATGTGTGTGATCGTGGAAGTTGAGGGAGTGTGTGGGTGTCTGTGTGTGATGCGGCCTCCCAAACCCCCCACCGGCGGCCAAGCGGTGACAGCCCAGCTCATCGTCGTGAGCATTTGGGCTGCTGGTAAGGGGACAATGGCAGCCAGCGTGCTGGCTTACCCACTTCAACTATGATGGCAGCCAGCGTGCTGGCTTTGCCATCTGGACAATGGCAGCCAGCGTGCTGGCTTACCCACTTCAACTATGATGGCAGCCAGCGTGCTGGCTTTGCCATCTCAACAATGGCAGCCAGCGTGCTGGCTTACCCACTTCAATTAGGATGGTAGCCAGCGTGCATTAGGATGGTAGCCAGCGTGCACTCATAGGAGGGTTGCGCGGGCACCCGCCACATCGCACTCTCGCCTGCATTTCGCGCACTCGACACGCACGATCTCCG